TTAACAAAAATCACTAGACAGCCTTTTAAGGGTGTTAACAGGAAAAGTAGTGTATTAGATCTCATACATAGTGATTTATGTGATTTTCATGCCAATCCTTCACTAGGACATAATAAGTATGTCATTACTTTTATTGATGATGCCTCTAGATATTGTTATGTCTATCTATTGCATGCTAAACATGAAGCTTTGGATAAATTTAAAATTTATAAGCAAGAAGTAGAACTTCAAAGAAATGATTCAATAAAAGTATTGCGTACTGATAGAGGTGGTGAGTATTATGATCCAGATTATTTTCAATCAACTGGYATAATACATCAAACCACGGCTCCTTACACACCACAACAGAATGGTGTGGCTGAAAGGAAGAATAGGACTTTAAAAGAAATGGTGAATTCCATGTTATCCTATTCTGGACTCAGTGAAGGGTTTTGGGGTGAGGCTATGTTGACAGCCTGTTATATCTTAAATAGAACTCCAAGCAAAAATAGTAAGCAAACTCCTTATGAAATTTGGAACAAGAAGGTTCCAAATTTGACTTATTTAAGGGTTTGGGGTTGTAGAGCTGTTGTAAGACTTACTGAACCCAAAATGAAAAATCTGGGTGAGAAAGGTATCGATTGTATCTTCATTGGGTATGCTGAGCATTCCAAGTGTTATAGGTTTTATGTTATAGAACCTAATGAATATGTATCGGTGAACTCTATAATTGAGTCAAGAGATGCWATATTTGATGAAAGACGATTTACATCTATACCTAGACCAAGAGGTATGATTCAACCATTTTCAAGTAAGAATTCTGAAGATGAGGTTGAAGGTACTGATGATGTACCAGGTCCCTCGGTTCCTAGGAAAAGCACTAGAACAAGAAAAGCTAAGTCTTTTGGGTCTGATTTTCAACTTTATTTGGTTGAGGGAACTAGAGATCAAACTGTATCTCTACGTGAATATTGTTTCATTGTTGAGGAGGATCCAAGGACATTGAGTGAAGCAATGGCTTCTAGGGATGTTGTTTTTTGGAAAGAAGCAATTCAAAGTGAGATTGATTCYATCTTGCATAATGATACTTGGGAATTAACGGATTTACCTCCTGGATGTAAACCATTAGGATGTAAATGGATCTTAAAAAGAAAGATGAAAGTGGATGGTAGCATAGATAAATATAAAGCTAGATTGGTTATACAAGGCTTTAGACAAAAGGAGGGAATTGACTTCTTTGATACTTATGCTCCTGTTGCTAGGATTTCCACTATTAGATTGTTGTTAGCTCTTGCAGCTATACATGATCTTGTCATTCACCAAATGGATGTGAAAACTGCATTCTTAAATGGTGATTTGGATGAGGAAATTTACATGAAACAACCTGAAGGGTTTGTGATGCCTGGACATGAAGGCAAGGTTTGTAAATTGAAGAAATCATTGTATGGTCTGAAACAAGCACCAAAACAATGGCATCAAAAGTTTGATAATGTAGTGTTGTCTAATGGTTTTTCTTTAAACCAAGCTGACAAGTGTGTGTATAACAGATTTGATGCTTCTGGTAAAGGAGTGATAATTTGYTTATACGTAGATGACATGTTGATCTTTGGTACAGACCAAAATCAAGTTGATAAAACAAAGGAATTCTTATCATCTAATTTTGATATGAAAGATCTAGGAGAAGCTGAGGTGATTCTTGGTATTAGAATMAAAAGAGGAAACAATGGTATCTCAATTTCTCAATCTCATTATATTGAGAAGATACTGAAAAAGTTTAACTTTGGAAATTGTTCTCCTGTTTTTACTCCTGTAGATCCTACTGTGAAGTTTCGACCTAATACAGGAGCTCCAGTGWMTCAGCTAGAATACTCTAGGGCTATTGGTAGTCTTATGTATGCCATGATTAGCACTAGACCAGATATAGCTTTTGCTGTAGGAAAGCTTAGTAGGTACACTAGTAATCCTAGTGCTCTACATTGGCAAGCTTTGGGTCGAGTGTTTAAGTATTTGAAAGGAACCWTGAATTATGGTTTAACATATAGTAGTTATCCTTCTGTTGTAGAAGGTTATTCCGATGCTAGTTGGATTAATAATACAGAGGATCACTCATCTACGAGTGGTTGGGTATTTCTTCTTGGGGGAGGTGCTATTTCTTGGGCTTCAAAGAAACAGACTTGTATTACACACTCAACCATGGARTGCGAGTTTGTGGCTTTGGCTGCAGCTGGTAATGAAGCTGAGTGGCTGAGGAATTTGCTTTATGAAATTCCTTTGTGGCCTAAACCGATATCTACCATTTCTATTAGATGTGATAGTGCTGCTACCTTGGCTAAGGCTTATAGTCAAGTGTACAATGG